TTGGAACACCAAGAAATGGAACCTCCCAGAAATTTAAACAAGTACCCAGATTTACTTCTTCTGTCAACTCTGTCTCCACACCAATCAGAGTCTGAATAACTCGGAAGTTCTGACTCGTTATTTCCTCCAGAGGGAAATAACACTCCATACTTCAGAGTTCCTTTGATATACCTCAGAATCCTGACAGCAGCTTGGTAATGGGACCACTTAGGTTTACTCATGAACCTACTAACCATCCCAACAGAGTAGCAAATATCAGGTCTGGTATTGCACAGATACCTCAGAGAACCAACCAACTGTTTAAAGGTTGTAGCGTCCACATCCTTTCCTTCAGAGTCTGAATCCAGTTTCTGATTTGTATCAGAAGGTGTGACAGCAATCTTACAATTCTTCAGTTCAAATCTCTTCAGAAGTTCTAATTCATACTTGAGCTGATGCAAAATGATACCTTTCTCAGAATATATGAACTCCATCCCTAGAAAGTATGTCATTTTGCCTAGATCAGTCATTTCAAATTCATTCATCAGAACTTTCTTGAACTTGGCTATCTCCTGTTCAGAACTTCCAATCAATAGTATATCATCAACATATAAACATACCAGAGTCATATTGCCTTCAGAAGTATGCTGAACATAGACACCGTACTCCATCTCACATTTCTGAAAGCCTTGCTTCTTCAAAAATGAATCAATCTTCTGATTCCAAGCTCTGGGAGCTTGCTTCAATCCATATAGAGCTTTGTATAATCTGTACACCATCCCTTCCTGATTCTTTTTCACAAATCCAGGAGGTTGTGACACGTAAACTTCTTCTTCTAATGGACCATTCAGAAATGCAGATTTTACATCTAAATGCATCAAAGGCCAATTCCTGTTAGCAGCTATTGCAATCACCATTCTGATTGTTTCATGTCTTGCTACAGGTGCAAACACTTCAGAATAATCCAGCCCAGGTTTCTGTAGAAATCCTCTGGCTACCAACCTTGCTTTATGTTTGCCAATTAAACCATCTGGCTTTAACTTCTGCTTGAAAACCCATCTGACGCTGATGGCTTTCTTGTATTTTGGAAGTTCTGTCAGCTTCCAAGTCTTGTTTCTCTCTATAGCATTAAGTTCTTCTTTCATGGCCTTCAGCCAGAGCTTCTGCTTAAGAGCCTCCTCTGTACTTATAGGTTCAGAGTCTACTAACATGGCACACTGAATAACTTCTCCTTCAGAGTCTACTTCAGTGTCTTGCAGCATGTCAAATTCTGCAAATCTTCTAGGAACGCTTTTGATTCTTTGTGGTCTCTGAACTTGTTCAGAGTCTTGAGCTTCAGAGTTTCCAGCTTCAGATGGTTGACTTCCTCTAGAGTTTTGACCATCTTCAAGATCTGGCATATTTTCAGAGTCTTGGCCATCTTCAGAGTCTGAATTTCCACCAGAATCTGGATTACCATCAGAGTTTGGATCATCATAGTCACCTTCATCTTCTGAGTCTTCTCCAAAGTCAGAATCACTATCAGAGTCAGAATCAATGTCCGAGTTTACTTCAACTTCAGAAATTCTTAACTCTGACCTTTCTTCAGAAGTTCTCACATTAGAATCAGATTGAGACTTATCCCAATTCCAAACTTCTTATTCCTTCACAATCACATCTCTGCTGAATTCAATTTTATTGGTTTCTGGACAATAGAGCTTGTATGCACCTGTACTGTGGTACCCTATCAGAATCATCACTTTGCTTCTATCATCCAGCTTCTGTCTTCTAGCTTCTGGAACATGTTTATAGCAAACAGAACCAAACACTTTCAGATGACTAACACTTTGCTTGTCTCCAGTCCACTTCTGCATAGGAACTATTTCCTTCAACTTCTTCGTAGGACATTTGTTGAGTACATACGTTGCAGTGGCAACAGCTTCTCCCCAGAGCTTCTGAGGAAGCTTCTTCTCCTTTAGCATGCTTCTCACCATATCAAGCAAAGTACAGTTTCTTCTTTCAGCAAGACCATTGTATTGAGGGGTATAAGGAGCAGTAACCTCATGCTCAATTCCATTCTCCTCACAGAACTTCTGGAACTCTTTGGAGTTATACTCACCTCCACCATCAGTTCTAAGAATCTTCAACTTCTGACCACTCTGATTCTCAGCCTTCATTCTGAACTTCTTGAATTCATCAAACACCTCATGTTTAAATTTAATAAGGGATACCTATGTCATTCTTGTGAATTCATCAACAAACAACACAAAGTACTTATTCCCTCCAATTGATGCTACTGGAAATGGACCACACACATCAGAATGTACAACTTCCAAGGCATGTTTTGCTCTTGGAGCAGCTTCTGACGCAAATGGCAATCGTGGTTGTTTTCCTTCCATGCAAACTTTGCATGATTTTTCAGGCTTCTTAATTGCAGGAATTCCATGTACCAACTTCTTTGAATTCAGATGTTTTAGGCTTCTGAAATTCAAATGACCAAATCTTCTGTGCCACAGCTCACTCTCCTTCTCAGCACATGTTGCACTAAGACATTCTGAGTCTGCAGTTCTGACGTTCACCTTGAATGTTCTATTCCTTCCCTGTTCTGACTCCATAATCAACTTCTGATTGTAGTCATACAGCTTCAGAAGATTATCCTTCATGGTAACTGAAAAACCTTTCTCAATTAATTGTTCCACACTCATCAGATTGCTTCTGATGCCAGGTACATACCACACGTTCTGAATCAATGCTGTTTTCCCATTGTTCAGAATCACTCTGACATTTCCCATACCTTCTGCATTAAGATATTTGTCATCAACACATCTGATCTTTGTTCTCTTTTCAGAGTCAAAGTTAACCAGCCATTTCTTGTTTCCAGTAAGATGATTTGAACAGCCAGTGTCCATATACCACCAGTCTATCAGATCCATATTATCAGATTCAGAAGCCATCAATAGCACAGATTCGTCATCAGAACTTCTGGCTATATTTGCTTCTTCTGATTTCTTCACCTTGTTTGACCAACAATCTCTAGCAAAGTGACCAAACTTCTTACAACAGTAACATTGGATCTTCTTCTTGTCATACTTCTCTTTTCCCTTCTGAGCATTCTTTTGCCTATCAGAGATTGAGCTTTCTGACTTCTGACCACCATCAGATCTTCTCTTGGCTTCTGACTGCTTCTGATACCTCCTATCAGAAGTTGCTTTCAGAGCCTGCTGCTCTACTTCCCTTTTAGAAGTTCTCTCAGTCAAACGTAACTCTTGCGCTTCTAAACTGCTCTGCAGCTCTTCAATTCTCATGGTACTCAGATCTTTGGAATGTTCTATTGCTACCACAATGTAATCAAATTGAGAGGTAAGGGATCTCAATACCTTCTCCATGATTGTTTCTTCAGAAAGAGTTTCTCCACACGCCTTCATCTCATTAGTGATCAGAATCACTCTGGAGATGTATTCAGAAACTTTCTCATTATTCTTCATGTTGAGATTCTCATATTGCTTTCTCAAGGACTGAAGCTTCACCTTCTTCACTGATGTGTCACCACCATAACATCTAACTAGTGTGTCCCACGCAGCCTTTGCTGTCGTTGAATCTGCAATCTTCTCAAACACATTTACATCAACACATTGATGAATAAAGAATAATGCTTTCTGATCCTTCTTCCTTACTTCCTTCTGCGCGTTTTTCTGTTCATCTATTGCATCTGCTGCTACCGGAACATAACCATCAGTGATAAGATCTAAAACATCTTGAGCACCAAACAGTACACGCATTTGGATCATCCAACGATTCTAGTTTTTACCGTCAAATACTGGAAGCTTGGTGTTCATGTTGCCGTTTCCGTTCATCTTCACCTTGCACAATACACTCAGATTTCTCACACAGTGTTTCCCAACCCACAGAATAAAATTCTGATCAGATTTTGTTCAAGATTCAACACGAATCTAAGAATCAAAATCAAACACACAAGACCTCACGTTCACTCGTGTTTCCCGTGTTTCCCAATGAATCCGAACCGGAGCTCTAGATACCAATTGTTGGTGCAAAGGTGAATAAATGATGAACAAAGGAAATATTCTATTAAGAATGACGGCTACAAAAACATGATTAAAGTTACAATGATTGTCACCCTATTTATAAGCTAAAACTAGGGTTACTAGGATAAGATAAAATACTAAAATACCCTCTAACAAACTTAGGGGTTAAGAAAATAGTAAAACTAAATAAATATGAATTACTATTAATATTCTAATAGCTCCTTTGTTTTTCTATGTGAGTAATTAACTATATTTTATTTTTGTTCGGAATTAGGATTCAATTTGACTAATTAAATAAAAAAGTTCAAAATTTATATTTTGAGTCTACCCAAACTCGTGGGGTTACCCGCTAGAGTATCCACATATCACGCTTATATATTAGTAGAGATTTATCTCTTCAAAAATAGTTGGTGTTAGTCTACTATCTTTCATTTATCTCAATCACTTAATTAATTTAAGTATTTGTAAGCAATGACTAACGTGTATACGAGCATGACCGCTCCATTTAGATCCAATTCTTCTAAAGTATAAAAAAAAAAATGAGGCTAAATGGTTAAATGGGTGAGTATGGCCAATTTTGTCACCCTTACACTATACTATGAAGCTTATGACCAATTTCATCAGCAACCTACATTTTTAGCTTACTTGCTCATATATTTTATGACACTTTCTTAAACAAACCGCATTAGCAAAATTTAAGCAATTGATGTCATACATGTAATTTTCATATATTCTTTACTAATTTCTATTTTGTGAAAGTTATTGTACATATTGTTTGCTTGCAAAATTGCTTACACACAATTTCAACATTTTCAACCCAATGACACTATCATGATCAAGAACATTAACTATTCAAGAAAACCAGAAAGAAAAAAAGACTTAAAAACATAACTAAGCAAATTAAAACTACAACACTTTAGTTCTTCACTAAAAAATTAAAACATAATCCCTGCAATTCTATGACAGCATCTTCAACTTCTTTTCTCTTCGCCGTACCTGTTACTGCGGCGGAGGGCAGAAAGTGATAACATACCTTGGAGCCCTGCATCTATTAAGACTACTAGTATCATCATAAGCATAACTATAAGCCTTAGGACAAATAGCCTTAAAGAGATTAGCAAAAAGTGTAGGTTTACAAGTCTTAGGATCAGAATAACTTCCTGTGCAACAATACTTAGCAGATTGCATAGCCAAACAAGCACTTTTACAACCAACCACTTTCCCATTTCTCTTCACTTCAAGTGCTGATGGACAACAGACATTCAAATCAACTTCACAAGAAGCTATACCGCAACCGATTCCACCTCCAATAGGTTTCATCGAAACAGGTAAGTTGAAACCGTCCACTAAACTCACGTCGTAGAAATGTAATGGTGAAGATGATGATCCTAATGTCATTTCGACTACGGTTGCTGGTGGAATTCCTCCTAAGCCTTTGCATTGTAGTTTGCCGAAGCAATCGCCTGTTAGACAGTGGCCATTTCCATCGTTGTCGAAGTTGCACCCTTGTCTTCCCCATATTCTTCCTGACCATTTTTCTTGTACGTCTAATACTACTTCGTCGCCACTTCCTAGATGAAATCCACCATCTTTTGGTGTTTGTTGCCCTGATCCTCCTAGTATTCCTGGCCATACACTTTCTCCACAATTGTTCACTAGAATCAGTTGTGCTCCATCTGCAACAAATAATACATAAATGTTTCGAAAGATGTTAAGAATCCTGCCTCAGGTAATATATAGTTTGAATATGTGTTTATCAGATTGCTATAAATAGATAAATAATCAATGAGAAGATGAAGAAAATGTGCTACCTATGAGTATGATGGAGCAAAAGGAGATTAAGCAGTAGAGAAGAGTGGAAGTTTTTGACATGTTTCAGTTTAATTTTCAATCTGAATACTAAAAGATCAAGATGTGATGCTACCTATTATATAGTGACTAAGTTATTGTATGTGACAAGTGCTAACTTTTTTATATGAAAAATAACAAGATGGTTTTGTAACATCTCACTGTGACCATTACTAAGCTTTTTACTTTATGCTTTTCTGTGCTTACTTTCATCTTTCTCTTTTATGATAACATAGGAGCATATATGCATTGCTTCTTGTTGGAGATTTCTTTTTCAAGTAACTCTTTTTGTTAAAATAATGTTAGTTAACTATTTTGGATTATATTTAGGGGTGTTGAGGTTTCTAGTTACTATTCAACCGATAAAAAACCGATATTGTTAGAATGAACACCAACATCAAAGTTCAGCTCAACCTCCAAAAAATCGAAATAATTAGGATGAACATCAACACTAAAGTTTGAATTACATAATTGTGTGCCTCAATTTTTAGTGGTTATTATCGGTTCTTATGCGTATAAAATGCAATAAAAGTAAGTAGGATGTTATATGAAGTATCAACTTTATTTGGATTAGGCAATGTTGTTTTATAACATCAGCAATATCTGTTTATCTTTAAATGGAAAGGCACATAGGACACGTTACAAGATATTATGCCCTCTACTTTTTTAAGTCTTGTAGATTAAGATTTTCTTGTATTCTTAACGACACTTGTGAGTATAATTATAATTTTAAACAAATTGAGTTGCATAAAGTGACCGATAAAGCTTGATTAGAAGCGTGAACAATAGAACAACATGACACAGTCTAGCAGAAAACGCTATATACTTTTATAAATAGTGAATCAAGATTCAAATAAAGACTGAGATAACTATATTTAGTTTCTAACAAGTTTTGAATAAGATTGCTTCAAGTGCAGCTAATTTTATAGAAAATACAAAAGAAAAATTACGAACAATCAATCTGGAATTTTTATTCTCTTATTTTTATTTTGTAATTATAGTTTATATATTTTATAAGGTTTTTGTTCGGTTGTGAAACTAAAATTAGATAAATATTAACGGTGATGAATTCTGATTTGGTGGTGCTGATCTCTAATTCGGTGGTGCGGGGTGCACCTATAAGATTAACACTCCAACACCCAAATCAATTTATAATTTGTGATGAATAGTAAAAGTGAATATCAAAATAGTGTATCTTGAATATCCGGTATGAAAGCTTCTATATGTTGGATCATTTGTAGTGGACCAGTCCTTAGCTTTTTTGGGCCATTGTCCAATCCAGAACAGCTGCCCTCAAGACTTATCAAACGATTATTAACAGCGGAAGCCTTAACAATTATGGTTGGCCACTGAAGAAGTCGTTTGAGTTGGATCAGGAGTTGAAACGCATTGTATCGCTTGTAAAAGTAGTGGGAAACATGTGCATTAAATGTTTTTCCATCATTGAAATGTTTCGCTGTTCTTTCTTAACATGTGTTTTGAGGTGAATAGTTAGGGTATGACGTTGCTTATAGTGCACTCAACTGCATTTGAGTTTATGTATGTTTACAAGAAGGAATCTAACCGTAGATTTTTGTAACTTCTCGCTCCGTTGAACCAATTCGTTGCTTCTCTCTCTCTTTATATATATATATATATATATATATATATATATATATATATATATATATATATATATATATATATATATATATTTCTATTTTTCTAAAGATAAAGTTGAAAAATGTTTGATATTGACAGTAACTTACATGCTAAAGTCTTCTCCATGACATTTTTTTTGTCAAGTTAAGGAATTTTGATCAAGCTTTATCTTAAAAACTCGGGTAATAATATCAAGCATGTCTTGTGGTTTTAAATTATCTTTAATGAGGTACCTATCAATTTCTTGCATGTTAGGATTACACATTAATGTAATAAAGATGTTGGGAAATCCTAATGCAGCAGATATGACCATTTGGTCAAAGTAAAGTGCATCAAGGAATCTCTTGCCTCCTACAGATGACAATTGTAGAACAACTCTTTTACCCTTCTTGGATTTTGAAAAAGGTTTAGAGGAATTTGAATCACGCAAAACTTGGTATATTTCAACATGAAGTTTTGATTGATTTTTACTTATCTATGTTAGCCTTTGAGTCTCCATCAGTATAAATCCATCAACTAAGAATTGTTGAAAATGTCTCCTGAAAGAAGTCAATGTTTTAGCCTCACACTGCCTTGTTCGTATACGAAAACACAACCTTTCTTTAATGGTAAATTGGTTCCTACCATTGGGATTTTGATTTGTGCGCAATTTGTGAGGAATCTCGTTCAGAAACTGTCTTTGTTGTATGTAAAAATAAGCGGATATTAATAGGTCAGGTAAGAATGGTAGAATTCGTCATTTCTTTGTAAAGCACCATATTCAATTTTAATGATAATATCTCTTTTTTCTGTCGTGTTTAAGTCTCCGACAATAAGTGTTGCAACTTCTGAAACGATAAGTTTGTTATACATCCATCTATCAGTTTTCCTTTCTGAAACATTTGAGTTAAATATCACTGATGTCTGATTCATTAACCTTGTTCGTGCCATCCTAAAAGCCTTAGCATGTGTATTAAATTCATCAAGTATTATTGTTAGCTTTGAAACTATGATAGGATCAAACTGTTTGGTATTTCTGGAAAAAATAAATAAATATTATGATTTTGTATCATATGTATAAATTTAAATAATTTGAATATTTACAATGCATAATTTGAATTTAATTAACCCGAACACTTGTATACGGTTAGGCACTTCATGTTCAATATCATAAATGTATAATTGAGCAAATTTGGAGGTTGATCTGGCATTGGAAGCATGCTACCAATGCGATAAGACGCCTGACCTTGTACTGTGATAGTGGGGGGACCCTTTCCTCCTCAAAAGTTGGTGTCAATTTTCATTTCAGCTGATGTGAAAGCAAACATTGTGTTATGTACCTTGAATTGTCTTAGTAATTTTTGGAATCCACACATTAATTATTATGCAGGAGATGATCAAGCAAAGGTGGATGCTTTTCTAATAAAGGTATAAGGATTTTGCCATTTCAACATCACATATTAAATTTAGGAATGATATAGTGCCTTAACTTTGAAGTTCTTTCTTGGTACCATATATTTTCTCCACAATACTCACATAGATGTACATGATCACATATGTCTGCATAAACTATTTAAAAGTAATATGGCATAAGTTGTTATTACATGTTATTAATAGTCAACATTCATATATGAACATACTTGATTGATAATCTGAGGAACTTCCATAGTCATTGCATTCCATGTTAGAATTTTAATCATCACTTTCAAGTCCAATGCTATTGATGTATGAAGTGGAATTATCATCAAAAGTTAACCCATCGTCATCAAATGTTTGTGAGAAACTCCTTTTATTTGATGGATTATTAATTGTTCTTGGGAAAATATGAGGAATCACAGTTATGGCGGTAAATGTTTCATATAAGTTAATGATGGGTTTGTGACTTTCTCTTGCATTTATTGGTTTCATTTGTCGTGGTACGGAAGATGATGGTTGGGTATGAAAGTTTGAATTATGCATCAAGTTTTTGCATGTAAAGTCTTGAAATAATTTCTTCTATTAGGCGTTGGTGTGTTTGTTTTATCAGTTAAAGGTGTAGTTGGTTGTGAAGAAGATGCTGCTTGGGAAGGCATTGTGTTTTTAGATGCACGAGGTCTATTATTTGGCTGATTTGAAGATGATGACTTTGACTTGATAATGTCATGTCTATGTAACCTTGTTGAGTGTAAAGCAAAGCAGTATCAAAAGTGTTGATAAATGGTGATAAAGAGTGAAAGAGAAAATAGTGATGAAGTAAAGTTTATTTGAATGAATGAGTTTGAAAAATATGTTCAAAGTTATTTTCGTAAAGTAGTTGTAAGCTGAAAAAGTAATGATGATTGGATGTTTAACAATGTTCATGAGATATCATTGGATCGAACTCTAGTTTTTTCGACTGGGATGTTGTCGACAAGGATAACTTTCCGGTTTTGACAGAGAACAAGCACGAAGTCAAAGATGGTTCACATGCTGATGTCTATGTGTTACATATTGTAGTCGAAGTCAGTTTTAATATGTATTGTCAAAATGTTATGTTGAATTGGGCTCTGTGTTAAGGATCCAATTGTTTAGTTAGCTTGTAATGTAAGTTAGTTAGTTAGTTGATAAATAAGCTAGATCTCTTAGGTTGTTGAGAGAGACCAATCGTGTTATTTATTTGTAATCATTTGTAAATCCTAAATGAGAAAGTGAGACCCAATTTGACAACACATATTAGAGTTGACTTCAACTATATTATGTAACACATAGGCATCAGCATGTGAGCCATCTTCGACTTCATGCTTGTCCCCTGTCGAAACCTGAAAGCTATCCCTGTCGACAACATCCTAGTCGACAGAACTAGAGTTCAATCCAATGATCTCACAAATTTTCACCTTAGAACAAACTCTACAATAACAGGGAATATTCTAGCTTCCAAAACTCCACATAATTTAAATAAACATAACAACATAGAGTAGAGTACATAATGTATCTCTCAAACATAATTCGAAATCTCCCTAGTGTTACATTACCAGAGCATGACTCGACCCAACTAAAATAAAGACACAAATCAAGCTACTCCAATAGCTACCTCGCGCTAGAAGAAACTCTACTCCTATGTACCTGAGCAATGTCGTATAAAACCTCATTCTAACAAAAGAGTGAGAATTCACATAATTATTGAAATTATAAGATAATAATTAATCTAAGGCATACAAGCATAATTCAATTATTCTCACACTTCCAAGTTTCATCAACAAATATCACTCAAGTAACCATACCATTCACACGTATATACACACAATCCACAATTTCACCAATTCAACAATTCACATAGATACACATAATCTCATAGCACAAACATATACACAATGAGACTCAATGCAAAACTCAATGCAAGATCCAATGCAACTCATGCCATGTGGTACCAACACTTGTTATTATTT